GTACACTCAGATCATAATGCCCTCCCACCCAATCCCCCACCACTCCCCGAAGAAAACACCAGCTCCTCCCCACGGCTACTGCGGCTCCCAGTGCAGCCCCTTCTCCTTGGGACACTAGCCCCACACAACTGATTTAGTTCATCCCCACTCAGGCTCAGATACCCTGCATGGACGCTCCAGGCCCTCCAATGATAGCCTGGCCCCTGCCGGAATCAGAGCGTGAGCCCTGGCCTGGAAGCTGACAGACACTTCTTGGCTGGTTGACCTCAGGCAAGTTATTCAACCTCTCTGGTCCTCAGGGCCCTCATCTGTAAAGTGGGGATAATTGTCCCCACCTCACAGGGATATTATGAGGACTGAATGAGAGAGGTGCATAGAAAGTGCTTACAACAGTACATGGCATGTGGCAAGTACTCCTTAAATAGTAGCTCCTAGTATTACTGTTGTTATTACTGCTATAATTATTAGCAGGGCCAACCTGACCTTGGGGTCAGTCCTACTCAGGGTGAAATCAGAAAAGCCCAGAGAGGCCAAGTGACATTCCCAAGGTCATGAAACTGGTTGTGACAGTGACCATGATGTGCCTGAATTTTTGGCTCTGCTTCCTGCTGTCCCTCTGCCAGCCCAGCCTGATCCCAGATGACACTCAGGGGGGCCCACTAATTCTCCATCACCCCCAACAGCCCACCCCATAATTCAGTGCTTAGGACCGAGCTCCCTCCACAGGCGTCCCAGAAGGCGCTGCCTTGCTGGCCTGTGCCAGAGCTGTTTTCATTGGCGCCAGGCCCAGGGCTATTTTGTAGCGAAGGTGATACATAATTCCCCATTTTAAGAGCTTCCTCTTTGATTATTACAGCTACAAGCGATTAGGACTGGCTCTGATAAAGAGGCTCCAAGATGAAGGCTCCCTCCTTGCCCAGCTGAAAGCTCCTTGTCTCTGTTCCAGGAGCTGAAGCCAGAACCTGCTGTGCCCTTAGGCTGACACGAAGATCACCTGGTCAGCTCTGGCACATACTTGGACAGATTCAACCTGGTGGCAGTGACACTGTGGATTCAGAAGAGGTTCCTTTGCTCCCCCTAATTGAAAACTACTAAGATTTTACTTTGTGCTGAGCTGTCTGAAACAGTTTTCTATTCACTCTTCAAAGGTCCTCATTGTAGAGGGGCTTTCAGCTTTACAGATAGGGAAACTGAGGCTCAAGCAGGGAAGGGGACTGGAGCCAGAATTCCAGCCTTAGTCTGGCCAAGGTCTTAGGCATTGGAGCAAAGCTCAGAGAGGAGGAGGCCTCTGTACTATTACCAGATGGGGACACTGAGGCCAGAGGGGAAAGGACTGCAGAGGTACAGAGGGAGCGGCAGTGCAGGGCTGGGGACTGGGCATCCTGCCTGCCTCCGGTGCCCTCACACTCCCTCTGGGCCCAGGTGTCCACGGGCCAGCGAGCTGGGCACTGAATTGAGTTGCAGATGCTGCTGTGGCTGTCTCCCCCAGCATCTGCCACCTCCGTCCAAGGATGTGGGAAAACCAAGCCCTCACCTCTTTTTCTAGGACAAGCTGCCCAGCTGCTGGCTGGGGGGTTCTCTGTCTCAGCCTCCCCTGAAGAACCTGAACCTTCTCAAGTAAAGAGCTTCTCACATAGCTACACTGTAGACAACAATGACTTAAATCTCTAATTGTCACTGACTTAACCACTCAGGAGCTTCTGCCATGTTTTTAAATAAGAGGACAGGCACCTTTTCTATTTCCTCTTTGGAATACTGCCTCCAACTTCAAAAGGTCCTATCACATCGCTGGCCTCTAAGATCGATTGGACAGTTGCTGTTTCTCAGCAAACCTCTGGGGTTAAGCAAGCAGCACCCAGCATCCCAGAACTGGGGAAGGAGACCTGGGTGACAGACCCATTTTACAAATGGGCAAACCTGAGGCCTGAGTGCCCCCCACCCCCGGACTGATACGCTCACCGTAGAATGAAGCACCCTGCTGACATCCTTGTCTGCCCTCCTTTCCAGTCTCCCTATTCACTCCAGGGCCAGTGTTCTCAGCTCTCTGAGGTTATGACTATGCTGTGTGACCAGGGGCAAGTGACTACCTTCTCTGTGCCTGTTTCCTCCGTCGTTAAAAAGATGAGGGTAAGGCCCGGTTGGGAGATCGCGGTTCGGTTCCTGGTCAGGGCACATGCCCGGGTTGCAGGCTTGGTCCCCAGTCGGGGGCGTGCAGGAGGCAGCCGATCAGTGACTACTCTCTCATCACTGATGTTTCTCTCTCTCTCTCTCCCTCTCCCTTCCTCTCTCTGAAATCAATAAAGATACATTTTTTAAAAAATGAGGGTAAAAATAAAACTCACCTCACAAGAATTAAATAGGATGATTCCTATAAAATTTTCAGCATAGGGCCTGGTACATACTAAGTGATTCATAAATATTAGCTATTATTGAAGAAAATAGCTGACCACATTGGGACTCTATTATGCTATGTGGCAGGCATTATATCCTGAGTGTTTAAAAAAGAGAAAACGAAATAAGGCTGCAGTTATTGGGCACTGACTGCACACATTTATTCAGCACCGTGCTAAGGCTCTGCAAGCATTTTCTAAGCCCCTCAATGTTATTAGCATCTCTGTTTTGATGATGAGGCACTGAGAGGTGAAGTTACTTGCCCAGGGTCACACGGCAAGTAAAAGGCCACTGGAGCTTCAAATGGCTCCCAGGTCTGTTTTATCTTCTAAATTCCATGTTCTCAACCACTGGGCTTTAGCAAATTCACAAAGCAAAACTGGGTCTGGCACCTTTAAGCCAACTTCAAGCCACTGGACAGGGCTGACAAATTAGGGAAGTAGGCAAGGGCAAACAGGGAAATGAAGGGCCACATGACAGAGAAGGGGCAGGGCCTAGGGACCTGGGGAGCAGTTAGTGCCCAGGGCCACAGGGGTGAGCTGGGCAGGCTGATGAAACCCCATGGACTAGGGCAGAACGGATAGTGCTATGGACGGGAGGCTTCCTCTAGAAAACAGAGAGAGCTCCCAGGTTTCTCTGCCGGATTTGAAGGGGTTCTTGCGAGTACTGTCTCCACAGATTCCAGGCAAGGGACAGGCTCAGTGAGAAGGAGGTCTGGGATCAGTTAGTAATGTCTGCCACACACCATCCTGGCCGAGAAAACATTTAACAATTAAGCACCCTTCCCCCCAAAAGTGAGTTGTGTTGTTAAGAGCACTATTTTACCCTCTGCCTAGGTAGCTGTTTCTGAAAAGTAGAAATTAATCACAGTTGTTTTTCTTTTTCTTATAAAGGTACATCTTTAAAAGACTTAATCATTTGATTGAGTCATGTGATTTATATCCTTCTATCTTGTATTATTTATTCTTAACAGGCTAACAGGTATGACAAGTTTAAGGTCTCAAAGCTCAAAGGCTCCAGGGGCCTGGCAGGCAAAGGACAGGAGTACAGTGGGGAGGCCACAGGGAAGAGTGGGGACTGTGGCAAAAGGGAGCCCGGGTTCCAGCCGCAGGCAGCTCTTCTTAGCTCCAGCTACTGGGATTGGGGCCCACGGGGGCCAGCTCCTCCAATTTCTCAAGAGAGGTTGAAATCTGAGACGTATGGGCATACACATCTTCCAATTTCTAAAACACTGTGTGGGCAAAATACAAACACGGTTTGAGCTCTTTGCTCATATCATTGCCCCAGGTCACCCAAGGCGGCCACAGCAAAAGGCATGCTGACCAGCCCAGCCTCATAGGCCCGATGGCTCGCCCCAGTGAGGTCATCCAGGAAGCCTGGCATTGTTTTGCCCGGAACAAAGCCAAAACAATGAGCGACAATATTCTGGTCCTAGTGAAAGTGAATTGTTTGGGGAATTGTTTTCAGCATGACATCTCTGGGGACAGGGCTTGTCATCCATCTGGGATTCAGTGTCTGTGGGCAAGGTCCCCCCCTCTCCTAATCTAACTACAACTCCCACCCTACAAAAGTTCAGGTCTACCCTTAGAGACCCCCCACCTCCGCTGAGAGCACCCGCCTGGCTCAGGCTCAGCCTTTAGCCTACAGAAACCTTTACTTCTCCCCAAAGCCTCAAGAAGCCTCCCCTTTCACAGATCAGGAAGCTGAGGCTCAGAGAAGGGGAAGATCTGGCCCAGCTCACACAGCCACTAGGCAATGGTCCAAGATTTGCATCCAAATCCTGACTCCACACTATCCTAAGCAAGTGTGACCTCTATACAGGGACTCACCACAGCAGGTCATATATCTTGTTCTACGGTTTGCAAAGGAAAAAGCGTGTAAAGGTAGACAAAATCTGCAAACCACTGGCCTCTGGGGCAATGCTGGTGGGGAGCAGGGCAGGATGTGAGCCTGATGTATAGCCACCTTGTCCCTGTCCCCTCACAAAAATATTTGCAGGTAAAAGGTCTGGGGACTGGGTCCAAATATTTTTCTTATCTCCTTGCAGATGGCAGGCCTTGACCCAAAGCCCAGAGACCACAGGCGGGCAACAGAGATGAAACAAAGGGTAGGACGTGCAAACTGCAGGGCGGGGAGGCGGGGGAGGAAGGCCGGAGGGGGCTCCCCTGTGGCAGGGCTGGGCCTGGAGAAGGGCAGGGAGGCCAGGACAGAATGGTTGGGCGCCCCGACTCCAGGTGAAGGTGAGCTGGCACAATCATGCCCCAAACAGGAAAGTGGGCTAGGAGTCAGAGATCTGGTCCTATTTCGGTTCCGTTGGGTCCCGCAGGGCAGGTACTTCCCCTCTGCATCTCAGATGTCCGGAGGAAAACCAGAGCGAGGGGGCTTTAGCAAGCAGCGAATGCTGGATAAACATTTACTGAGAACCTACCCCAGGTGCCAGGCACGGCTCCAGGAACTGGGGGTGTGGACATGAGCCTGAGGAGCTGACATTCCAGAAGGGGAGACGGACACTAAACACGTACATGAATTAATAGTTCTGATTGGAGCCAGCCCGTAGAAGACAACCAAGCAGGGTGAGGTGTAGGTGACGGGGGCACGGGTGGTCAGAGAGGCCCCGTGAGGGGGTGACGTTTCATAACGGCAGGCACTCACTGAGGACTGGCTCTGGGCAAGTCCCACGCCATCCCACTCAGGCACCAACTCATTTATTCCTCTTAGAAGCCTGGATGAAAGAATGAGGCCCAGAGAGTGATGTCACTTGCACAAAGTCACGCCACTGGGATTCACTTGAACCCAGACGATCGGCTCCAAGGTCTGTGCTTCTAACCATACTGTAGCAAACATCTGGGGGAATGGTGTTCTCAGAGCAGGGAACAGCATATGCAAAGGGCCACACTGGGCACGGTAAAGGAACAGAGAAAGCCAGGAACAAAAAGGGGGGACAGGGCACGAGGTGACCTGGAAAGGAGATGGGCCTGGAGGCCAGGGTTAGAACCTAGATTTATCCAGAGGGTGGTGGAAGCCCCTGAAAGCTTTGTTCTGCCCCACTGAAGGCTCAAGACATTCGGCTAAAAGTCCCAGCTTGTCCCTGACCACCTGGCCAACCCCTTCCCTCCCACTCTGGGAGGGGATTTGACGGCGAACGGTGGGCTTTTCCCTGTAAGCAGTTGCTAGTGGGAACTTTATAGTGGGGGCCTGTAGAGCCTGGGTTCTTACCCTGGACAACCCAGAGCCATCCAGCTTCCTCTTCATGAGCCAAGTCCCTTGGGATGGGCTGAAGGTGGCTGCAAAGAGGTACCAGCCAAGGACAGGCAGTGGAACTCCTTTCCCTGGGCCAAGGGCCACAAGACTGATGACACAGAGAAGAAAATGTTCTCGTGCATCAAGTCCAGACCCCTCACCCCTCCACAGGTGAAGCCCAAAGGTTGGGAAAGAACAGGGTCAGCCTTAGATTCTATTCGATCTCAGACAAGTCAGTTCCCTGCACTGAGCAGGCCTTTACTCACCTGCAGCTGGTCAGGAGGAAAAGCCCCAACTGTCCCACGCTGGCTGTGCACCCACTGCGAGGCTGGCCCACTGCAAGGGGCACAGGGCCACCTTCATGCCCTCCAGGTGCTAATGTCAGAGACGGGGAGGGGCTCGTTTTATCCAAGTAACAGAAATTATTCTACAAGTTCCTAAGGACAGGAGCATGCGTCTGAGTCAAGAGGGAGGCTTCAAGGAGGAAGTCTCATGACACCGGCTGGCTGGGCCCCACGCTGCAGGAAGGCCGGGTCCAAGGGCAGTCAGGCTTCTCGGATCCTGTCTGAAGGGGCTCAGACCCCAAATGCCACTTAGTAGATTTCCAGAATATGCCGCACACCAACGCCATAACCAAAGCTCAGCTAAAGGAAAGGATCAGGGAGACCAGAAAGGCCGCCATGAGGTCTACTGGGCGCTCAGGGGCTGGTTTCAGGCACCAGGCGGTGAGTCAGCAGGCAACAGCCTCCAGGCACTGACTCACCAACCACAAGGCCTGTCACTCTTCTCCCTGTCAGCTTCCCCACCACCCCAGGCCTCAGCCAGGTTCTGGCGGAAGTGGGGGTGGGGTGGGGTCAGCCATGATCCTGAGGCAGGCTCTGCAGAACCCAGGATTATTTCTGGAGGCCACAGAAAGAGGCAGGAGAGAAAAGAAAAGCTTGGTTTTCATTTCCTCAAACTTCCTTTTTTGAGCTGTAAGAACCCTAAAACCACCCGCCTCTCACTGGCTGCGCAAAACAAACAAAGAGCAGCCCCTCCCTCGCTGTATAGAAACCGGAGAGAGACAGGCCCTGGGTGGCAAGGCCAGCTAATGGCATACCTGTGGCCCATGCCCACTCAGAGCCCAGCCACTCCCAACCAACTCTACCACCAGAGCTCTGTGGGAAACACAGCTCCATGGACACTAGCCAGGGTGCTCTGCTGTAGGGCCTTGGGCAAGTCGTCTCTCTCAGGCTTTGTTACCCTTTGTAAAGTGGGCATAATCTCATCTACAGTGTGTAAAAACTCCTAGCTCGGTAAATGTTTGTAAACAAGCCCCCCCTTTTTCATTGTTCCTCTTTTAAACGTTTCTCCTCAATGAGGAAGGACCTTCTTCAGCTCCCTTCCAAGCTCCACCCTCACCTCACCCTAACTTAGAAACTGAGCTCAAGGGGAGTTTGGTGCCTGCACAATGAAACAGTCTGGGATTTAGCAAGACACAGAGGGTGATGGACTAGCAATGTCTGCAGCCGGCCCGTTTCAGAGCAAAGGAGCATTGGTCTGGACTATTGTTCCACTTACCTGGAAGTCAAGTTTCAGATTGTCCTCCACCATCTGGAGCCCACTCAAGATCCCAGGGACTACTAAACCACACCTTGGCTCATGCTGTTCCCTTAATCTGGCACACTGTTCCCCAAGTAACTCATAGGCAATAAATACTCCAGGACAAAGGCCCCAAGGACTCCCAGTGCCACGCCTGGGCTCCATGGGCCAGGCCACACTCACCAGCCCATAATTATCTGTTTGCTCCTCTGTTGCCCAGGGTCAGCTTCCTGACAGGGCCTGGCACTGTGAATATTCGTCAAACAGAACATCTAGGGCTCAGGACTCTGGGGACACTCAATAATATAGGAGTAAGTATCTTCTACCTTGTAGCTGTGAGGGCTCCTCAATCAGGGTAACAGAGTAATGGCAGGCGTTTAGGAAACAGGCAGGGAGGTCGACAGAGGAAGGATGGGCCTTACATGTTCTCTGCAAGAGAGCGGAGATGTGTTCCCAGCATCTGAGCAAAGTTCCCCCCAAATGGTATAAAACTCTACAAACCTTTGCCCTTTTTTTGAGAGGTGAGCTCCCAAGTTTTAGAAAATCAATTTTTATTAAACAATGTGTTCCCTGAGCATCTTCCAGAAATGACTTGGAAGTGAATTCTTCCTGGTCCCCTAAAGGATTGCTGAGTGCTGGGGGAGGCTGCTGGATCCTGCACAAAAACCAACAGCTCAAAGTGGGTCCTGAGAGGTCTCGGCATATGCAAATGCAAGCCCACTTTCGAGAGGAGGAAACAGAGGCCAGGACCCAGAGCAAAGCAACGACAAGGGACACCAGCCTCTCTCACAGATGGACCATCAGAGCTGCAGGGAACTGAGCTCACAGAAGGGAAACTGAAGCTGGAAGGAGAGAGTCAAGGGCAAAGACAGTCCTGACATCCCCAACCGGTGGAATACAGTGGATGCCAGAGGCCAAAAGTGAAGCTCTTATTCCAAAGCTGGGTGGGCTGGGTTCCTATCTAATTCTGTCAGGTTGGCAGATGTTGGGTCAGCAGCAGTGGCGACTTCCAGGGCTACAAGATGATGCCTAACAGCAGTTACTGCTCTGCTAGAAGAAAAACTCAGCATTACAATCTGCATCAGTGTTAGGGCTGAGCTAGACGGAGGACAGACATTTCTCATTCGTGGTCTTCTTACATGTGCAGACCATCCCCCAGGGCAACCCAGACAGCCTCCATGTCCCTCACATTTTCATTGCAATTCCACTTGCACTTCGACAGAGTCTGCACAGAGTTGGGGACATGGCACTGCCTCCTAGGGCCCTGTCACTCATGCAGCATCACAAAACAAGGCGGCCCCAACCACTGGAAACTCTCTACAGAGGCATGCCCTGAACTCTGCCAGTCGTGTTTCTAGCAATCCTCACTCCTTGCTGTGTGGCCCTCACCTCCACTGCTAGAAGAACTAGCAGTGGCTCCCAGCTGCTTGAAGAATCTCCATAAATTTTCCCACCTGGAATCCAAGGCTCACACTTATTTGCCCCTGTCCTCAATCTCTGCCACNGCTCTGCTGTAGGGCCTTGGGCAAGTCGTCTCTCTCAGGCTTTGTTACCCTTTGTAAAGTGGGCATAATCTCATCTACAGTGTGTAAAAACTCCTAGCTCGGTAAATGTTTGTAAACAAGCCCCCCCTTTTTCATTGTTCCTCTTTTAAACGTTTCTCCTCAATGAGGAAGGACCTTCTTCAGCTCCCTTCCAAGCTCCACCCTCACCTCACCCTAACTTAGAAACTGAGCTCAAGGGGAGTTTGGTGCCTGCACAATGAAACAGTCTGGGATTTAGCAAGACACAGAGGGTGATGGACTAGCAATGTCTGCAGCCGGCCCGTTTCAGAGCAAAGGAGCATTGGTCTGGACTATTGTTCCACTTACCTGGAAGTCAAGTTTCAGATTGTCCTCCACCATCTGGAGCCCACTCAAGATCCCAGGGACTACTAAACCACACCTTGGCTCATGCTGTTCCCTTAATCTGGCACACTGTTCCCCAAGTAACTCATAGGCAATAAATACTCCAGGACAAAGGCCCCAAGGACTCCCAGTGCCACGCCTGGGCTCCATGGGCCAGGCCACACTCACCAGCCCATAATTATCTGTTTGCTCCTCTGTTGCCCAGGGTCAGCTTCCTGACAGGGCCTGGCACTGTGAATATTCGTCAAACAGAACATCTAGGGCTCAGGACTCTGGGGACACTCAATAATATAGGAGTAAGTATCTTCTACCTTGTAGCTGTGAGGGCTCCTCAATCAGGGTAACAGAGTAATGGCAGGCGTTTAGGAAACAGGCAGGGAGGTCGACAGAGGAAGGATGGGCCTTACATGTTCTCTGCAAGAGAGCGGAGATGTGTTCCCAGCATCTGAGCAAAGTTCCCCCCAAATGGTATAAAACTCTACAAACCTTTGCCCTTTTTTTGAGAGGTGAGCTCCCAAGTTTTAGAAAATCAATTTTTATTAAACAATGTGTTCCCTGAGCATCTTCCAGAAATGACTTGGAAGTGAATTCTTCCTGGTCCCCTAAAGGATTGCTGAGTGCTGGGGGAGGCTGCTGGATCCTGCACAAAAACCAACAGCTCAAAGTGGGTCCTGAGAGGTCTCGGCATATGCAAATGCAAGCCCACTTTCGAGAGGAGGAAACAGAGGCCAGGACCCAGAGCAAAGCAACGACAAGGGACACCAGCCTCTCTCACAGATGGACCATCAGAGCTGCAGGGAACTGAGCTCACAGAAGGGAAACTGAAGCTGGAAGGAGAGAGTCAAGGGCAAAGAGTCCTGACATCCCCAACCGGTGGAATACAGTGGATGCCAGAGGCCAAAAGTGAAGCTCTTATTCCAAAGCTGGGTGGGCTGGGTTCCTATCTAATTCTGTCAGGTTGGCAGATGTTGGGTCAGCAGCAGTGGCGACTTCCAGGGCTACAAGATGATGCCTAACAGCAGTTACTGCTCTGCTAGAAGAAAAACTCAGCATTACAATCTGCATCAGTGTTAGGGCTGAGCTAGACGGAGGACAGACATTTCTCATTCGTGGTCTTCTTACATGTGCAGACCATCCCCCAGGGCAACCCAGACAGCCTCCATGTCCCTCACATTTTCATTGCAATTCCACTTGCACTTCGACAGAGTCTGCACAGAGTTGGGGACATGGCACTGCCTCCTAGGGCCCTGTCACTCATGCAGCATCACAAAACAAGGCGGCCCCAACCACTGGAAACTCTCTACAGAGGCATGCCCTGAACTCTGCCAGTCGTGTTTCTAGCAATCCTCACTCCTTGCTGTGTGGCCCTCACCTCCACTGCTAGAAGAACTAGCAGTGGCTCCCAGCTGCTTGAAGAATCTCCATAAATTTTCCCACCTGGAATCCAAGGCTCACACTTATTTGCCCCTGTCCTCAATCTCTGCCACTTTATGTCTCCTCTTTCCCTGCATGAGTCTTGGGGCCTCCTTGCTCTCCCTAGCATTACCCCATTCAACCCTATGCTTTGTGGGTTCTTTCATGTTGAGGTGGATCCCACCTACCTTGAAGACCTGGCCCAAGTGTTGCCTCCTCCAGGAAGCCTTTCCTTCCCACCCTACTGTCTCCCCTCTCCTCCTCTGGCCTGTATCATCGCACTGTTCACCAGGCACTGGGCTCTTTCTCAGAACTGTAAGTTCTCCTTGGGAAACCTCAGTTTCTTCATCTGTAAAACAGTCCCATAATCTGTAAAACCATCCCTTGCGGAAGTTTCTGGGTTCTTGGGCAGAGCAGGTGGATGGCCCAAATCCTCACATGTGCCTGAACATCAGCATCGCCTGGGACTCTGGCTGAGATGGCAGGCTCCTGGGCCTACCCCAGATCTACAAAATCTGAATCTTAAAGGCTGTTAAACCAGCCCTCAGCCCCCCAATGAATCTTAAAATCAGGTGAAGTTGGGAACAGGGGTGCTAATGAACTGGGAGACACTTGGTAAAATGTAAAACAAAATAAACCAATAAAACTTGGTGACTGATAATGGCCATGAGTGTGTGTGTTGTGTGTGTGTGCA